AAAAAAAAATGAGTTGTTCAAACTGTTGCACCCTACCTGAAGCTGCTGTGGAAAAGCAACAAACGCTGAACCACTGATACACTGGCTCAAGGGGCTTGTGAAAGTTTGCTGGCTCAGCTTGCCATTAGCATCCTTCATCTTCTGCACGACCTGCATGCCTGCAAGCAGAACCGTGCCAGCTTCTTAAAGAGCCAAAGAAACCCCTAGGGCCGCTAAGCCTGAGTGCTAAGTTGTTTACTTTGTTGGGGTGGCAAGCGTCATTTTCTCGAGAGGTAAAATGAATAACTATAAAATACTATATATACATCCTTGACATTGCGAGGAGTATCACCAACCACCGGTCCAGCAGCATTTCTCGCTGCCGATGAACTTGCCACGCTCACTGCTGCACTTGCTTGATGAGTACCCGCCCCGGCAGGACAAATTCGTTTTCGATGTTGAAGAGAAGCAACAATTGCCACTTCCCAGGAACTTCCAACCGTTCTTCTTGTCATGTCCAAAGGAACCTTCACATAAGTCTCGTGTGGACCCTGCTTCACAGCTCATCCATTTGGTTGTGCAACACTTGCCAGACCCTAGGAACCTCCAATCCTTTGCGTCATTGCCGAAGGAGCCTTCACACAAATCACGTGTGGACCCTGATCCACAAGTCAACCACATCTGCGAAGTAGAGGTGAGGCAGCACTTGCCGCTTCCGATGAACTTCCAACCTTTCTCCTTCCAATGGCGGGAGCTTCCTTCACATAGATCTCTTGTTGACCCAGTTTCACAGGTGATCCACTTGTTGGTACAGCACTTCTCTTCGCCCACATATTTCCAACCATTCTTCGTGTCATGTCCAAAGCTACCTTCGCATAAGTCTCGCGTGGACCCTCCTTCACAGGTGATGTATTCTCCATCTTTGCAGCAAGCACCCCGCGACCAATACCAGCCGTTGCCATTGCAGAAGGACGAGCTCCCACCATTGGCACAGCCAGCAGATGCCCCTGAAACCTCGTCATGTAGAGTTACCTTCTCATTGGCTATCTCAGACTGCAACTGCCCGCCATGACGATAAGCGGAACAGCGCAAGCTGTAGAGAGCAGCAAGCACGGCATATGACGTGACAATCGCACGCGACATGAGGATTGTACAAACTGATTAGATTGAACCAATAGCTCGGCACTGACAGCGTGTTTCTTTGCTGCTTGAAGAAACAGACTGCTGCGATAAAGAATGCCTTCAAACATCTTCAAACAACATCAAACAACGTTCAACACATGTTTATCCATATATGGTCTCTAGTAGGAGCAAGGACGCTACTAGGGGCTCCTGGCCTTACTACTAGGAACAAGAAGCTACTAGGGGCTCCTGGCATCGCTACTAGGAGCAAGGACGCTACTAGGGAACATCGGACCCCACTCCCCCAGCCTTTCTGGAAGGCGTGGCCAGGCTCCGCTGCCATGAAGCACCACTCGGTCCAGTCGCAGGTCAACAACTTGAACAGCTTGCCTCCCAAGGGTGGTTCCAGTCGGGGAGACAAACAAAAACGAAAACAGCAAGCCTTTGAAAGCAAACGCTTGCAGACGCCATGCAACCCCCTGCAGGCAGGGCGTGTTCTTTGCAAGTACTCTGAGAACAGCCGATTTAGCTCCAAACAAGTTGCTTCCAAACCATTGCTTGAAGTCCGTGTCCACAAAGGGCAACTTTGCCAGTAAACCGGCGAGCGCATCGCTTGCAGTCCTGAGATGTTTGGAACTTTGAGTCGTCGAATACGTTCAAAACAGCTCGGTCACAGCCTGCCCGACTTTTTTGTACGAGAAGGATGGTGCCTTGCAGCTTCCTACAAAAGTGCTCAAGCCCAGCCTCAGTTGGAACTTGATTTTCGCCTCAAGGAGTCATTTCATAAGGCAACATCCCATACGCAGACTTTGCAAAATGATACTAGCACTAGAGATGATTCAATGATATTCAAAGTACCTTTCGGAGGTGCTGTGAGGTATGTTGCAAGTGATAGATGGCTTGGGCCAAACTTGGCTAGTTGCATCCACATCCTTGATGGGGAAACGATACCCTTCTCTAGAAAATATCAATGTTTCTGCTGTAGTGGGTTAAGCACGTGCTGCAATGTGTTTCACGCTATAATTAAATTAGAACATAGTAGAACCCATCCAATGCAATGTCCAATGAACATCTGCAGCTGTCCTCAACATATGCAAGAAGAAAGCAGGACATGACAAGGCGTGGTGGGAAGGTTGAAAAGGGCCCTGTTCAAAATGCCACTCACACAAACCTGAGACCATCATCTCCCGCCACCCCATCAATCTGACAAAAACACTCTAAGACACGGAGCACGTGAAGAATTTAAACAATAGCCACGAATAAAAGCAAAATAAGTGTGTATTGAATTGCAACAATGATCCCCGCCACAAAAGAGATAACCAACGACCAAACCCAGGTGGTTGGGAAGGTCTCCCTTTAGAGACCCAGAGTACTTCGAGCAGCTTCAGAAATTTGGCGTCGAAGAAGGGCAGCACGATCAGGAGCCCCAAGAATGCCGAGTTCGCCGTCACGGCTGAGGTCAAGGGTACATTGCTGTTGAAGGCCAACGACTCCAGGGCAGAATCCTGACACATCGAACAAACATAAGACCCTATGGAAAAATATGGGAAAACTGTTAAATCGGACATTATATATATGCGAGCTGTTTTGAACCACGAAGGCCTCACGATCAGAAACCTGTACATGTCATGACTGAAGTGGGCTAGTTTCTTTTTCCCACTCCTCCTTGGTGCCGCGAGCTAAGCTTCGTGCTTGCTGCACCACTCACATCTTAAAAGGGAACTGCCTCGCTGTCCATGAACTCCATATGCCTTCCCATTCGTGAGTACATTTCCATTTTGGACTCATGTTCGTTCCTTTGGTTGAGCTCGAACCATCGCTTCTCGAACTGTAGGGAATACTGCTTGGCTCTCAGGCAAGACCTGAAGGCTGGCTTGTCATACTCACTCACTTCATGCAGTTCTGCATCTGTGAGCCACCTTGTTGTCGGTGCTGACAAAGTCAAATCCTCAAACTCCAGGTCTCTGCTGCCACTGCCACGCGCTTCCCCTGTTCGATCTGGTACCCTTTCTGGCTCTGTCTCCATAGGCACCGGTTCCTCATTCTCACTTTCTGGTTCGCGAGGTTCAAGGTCACCTGCTCTCACTGTCACCACTTGTCCAGATTCTAATCTGACTTGCACCATATCATCTGGATCATGTTCTCCTTCTTCACTTTCTTCACTTCCACCGGTGTTGTCTCTCAAGGTGTTGTCTCGAATGTTCAGGTGTCGACGTGTCTGTTCAACATTTCTCTGAAGGTAATCCTTGATCTGCTTGTCAAGCCTTCTCATGTCGAACTCCTTGTTGGTATCCTGGAGGTAGTCCCAATGCCTCCAGTCTTCCCTCAAGACTTCATCATCATCAACATAACCTGAAGCTTTGATCAAGCCTCGATGCACCTTCTCCACATACTTCTTCACTTGCGCTATTGCTTCCTTTGTCTCATGGCCATAGGCTCCCACCATCATGCCGTCAACCTTCACATCATCAACCACTTGTTGAAGCCTTGTCTCCATTCTCTCAAGCTTCTTCCAGAGCTGGTAAATGCCGAAGATCAGTACGGCAATCACCATCATCAGGATCACAATGAATGCCCATAGCCACTGACTGTGGTTGGTCACGGTGACATTCTCCTCCATGCCCACTCGCTCACCAGCCACATGCTCAAGGCCTTCCAACAGCAAGATTCTGTTGAGCAGTTTTGCAAGCCTCTGGATCTTGTTGCGACTCACACTGCTCTCTTCAAGTCGTTGTTGCTCTTCTTGTCCAATCCTCTCTCCTTCACCATTGTAGATCTGGCACCAATGCAGGATGAGGTTCACCCTGGCTTTGGCTAGCGGTTTGGTGCCTAGGTCAGCGACATTGGCAACTGTCCCTACGGCCTTGACCTCAAGATCTCCCTGCGCAACCATGTCCTGAATCCACAACAACTTGCCAGCAATGTGCCGAAGTTTGCCTGGGCCCTTCCTATGGCACAGGTGTAGTGCTGCGGAGTTGTCTACCAGGCAATGGTGCACTACCTTCTCCTCCACGAGAAACTCCAAGCACCTTCTCAGGTATATCCCGTCTGCTGCTCCACTCACAAGAGCATTTAGCTCTGCTTCAGCAGAACTCAGGGAGACTGACTTCTGGCCTCTAGAGCTTGTCAAGACAACGTTCCCATTCACCATGTGCACCGCCGCTGATGTTGACCTTCTGTGTCCCTTTGCTCCTGACCAATCACTGTCTGCGAAGGTTTCAAGCAGCCATCTTGACGTAGCTGTTCTGGTGGCATGTCCGTGTCCTGGTTCTGGATACGGAAGAAGACTGTATTGTCCAATCGTTGCTTTCAAATAACCCACCAGCTTTCCAAGCTTCCTCAAACTCCCTGTTGTTGGACAGGCCATTGAGGATGCCAGCTCCTTGATTGCAAAGGACACATCCATCCTCTCTTGAGACAAGTAAATGCCACAGCCAACCAGGGATCTGAAGAGACTGGCCAACTCTCCACTCACCATGGACGTTCCATCCTGCTCAAGCATCTCCGGTCCACATGGCAACTTCTGGATCTTGGCTCGGCCCAGTTGGGACTCATACTGCTCAATCATGCTCTCGGCATATTTCCCCGGCAGGATCTTCAACCCTTCTGGTGTTTGCTCATAGGTTCTCCTCAGGAAAGAAAAGGTTGCGCCATCTCCTGACAAGTGTTGCTCCGAAATGTCAAAGCTCTTCTTGATGTCAGGCAGGAAAATCTCCTCCACATATTTTCGACTGCCCAAGTAAAGAACATCATCTACATGGATCAACACCATCATACGGTCTTCCTTTCTCCCAAGACATGGATTGATGTCCGAGAACTGGAATCCTTTCTTCCTCAACCAGTCTGTGAAATAGTCAAACCATGCTTTGGCTCCTAACCTCTGACCGGGTAGGTTGCGCTTCACCTCATAGTGACCTCTGGCGGTTCTTACTTGTGTTGGCTCCTCCTGGGGCACTTGGAGGAAGGCGTCTTTCACATCCATTGAACCCAACCAGAACTCTTCACCGCCGTCTCTCTCTTCCAGCTTCTTCATGAGGTAGATGATAGGCAACAAACGCAATGTCTGTCCTCCGGTTGCTGGGCTGTGCACATCATCTCGCCTGTCCACTGCGTATTCTCTAGCAACCAGTCTGGATCTTCTGAGGAACTGCTTGGGAGCATCGGGCAAGTCTTGACGAGGCTTCACTCGCCAGTCCCTGACAAACCTTGTTGTTAGCTTCTTGAAACCTGCCTTTTCCTCCTTCATAGCTTCCAAGACTCCCATCCTCAAGAGTCTCTGCTCTTCCACCTCATCTGCTAGATCATCGATCCAAGCTGGCGGATCTGCTGGAATTCTGTCCAAGGGCGCTTCTGACCACAATTCTTTGGGAATCATCGTCGATGGAGTCTCCTCCTCTTCTCCATCCCAAGACAAAAACTCCTCCTCCCCAAAGAACTGGTCCATGTGGTAGTACACCTCAGCTCCTACTTCCGTCGCTTGCACCCTTCTCTCAATCTGCGGCTTCTCCTCTCCAACCTTCTGCCTCTTTGTCTCTGAGATCTCTCCTCCACTCTCGTGCACAAGCTTGAAGGTAGTGAACTTTAACCTCTTTGCATCCCCTTCATCACCCGTTGTGCCGAGACTGCTCTTTTGCGCGGGGCTCCTCGGTGTAATGCCCGGCATTGAAGGTCCTGCTTGATTGTTCATGTCATCAACCACATTCGGATCCTTGGACCTGGCTGGTGGCAGACTGACATTCTCTTCTACGTAGTCCAGCTTCTTGTTCTCCACGATCTTCTGCTCCTCACTCATCTCCTGGACTTGAACCTTCTCTTTCTCAACCACTTCGACCAAGTCCTTTGCCTCCTCCAACTTTCCCGCATAGGACTTCGAGAAGGCTATTACCTCCTTAGCATCCTCATCATGCAGAGCTTCTCCTCCTGCTCCAGGTGTCGGCAATCCCAGCAGTGGTCCTCCAACCATAGTTGCAACCCTCTTTGATGGGACGATTCTTCCACCAAAATTCTGCTGGTACTCCCACGAGTATGCCGTGAAGCCCTGGTAGCAAGCTATGTACCTGGTACTGGCGTCTGCAACTCTGCGGATGGACTTGCTAAGGAAGACTCTGTTTCCATCTCCGATGACCCATGCATCCTGAACCTCTGTCTTTCCCAAGCAAATGCCTACCTTCCACTTTGGGTCTGCTTTGAAGCCCTGCTTTTGTTTCGTGTAGGCGAACACCACTTCTCCGAAAGGACACATCTTGCCATCATAGGCTTTGCCATGAGTCAACTCAAAGCTCGTTGTCCCTCTCAGCACCTGATATCGGTTCAGGGTCCAAGCAGCATGGCGGCACGCCCAAGACCACAGTGGATGTTGGTGCTGAAATCTCAAGCCGATCTTCTCCGCCAGACTCTCCATCATCGAAGCTGCGAGACCTCGTACTCGCTGAACTGCATTCTCAGCCAAAGAATTGCCTGCTGAGTCATAAAGCTTTGTTGTTCTCATTGTAGTTTTCAAACCCATGGCTGTTCTCGAAGCCACCAAGAGTCGAACAATCTGCCTCGCAGTAGGTTCATTGTCGCAGTAGTACTGCACAGCCTCATGGCCGAGAATCTGAGTGAATGCAAGCAGCTCGTGGGTGATGAGGTTCATCTGGTTCTTTGTTTTCAAAGGCAAACCCAACAGTGAGCCTGTTTCTGAGCATACCGCAACCATCAGCAGCGCTCCACTCTCATCATCTTGCACACCCTCCTGAGCAGCATCCTCTTCTTCTGCTCCAATCGCTCCTGAACCCTTGGCTTTCACCTTGCAAAAATCGAAGGAGATTGTTGGAACTCCTTGGTCATGAGACTTCCCCGTCCTCCTGTGTTGATCAGGACGAGCTCGATGCCTGATGCAGGCAGGACACCACGGAGCGTAAGGGACATGAGTAAGCTCATGCGCTTTCCTCTCTGCTTCCGTTGGGACTTTTGCTGTCACCTGCTCCACTGGAATCCTCTGCCCCATTGCCTGTCCTCGCGCAGCTAAGTCCTTGGCCATCATCAGCTCGAGTGCACCTTGATGAGCCACTAGCCGACTGAAGCATTTTCTCTTACCTCCACTCTGTCCGATCCTGTAGAAAGCACAAGCAGCTCTCAGGTTCCTCAGAGGGCTGTCGACTGTCAGTGGGACCTCGTTCACTCGAATCTCCTCTGGAAGTGCAACACCGATCTCATAATGCACCATCTGCTCTTGTAGGTCACGACCAGGGTTGGGCTCGTCATCTCCACCTGGAATGTCTGCACCATCGAATTCTTCCATCTCCTCATCTTGAGCTTGTGGAATTGCGAGCTCTTCAACTGCTGGTCTAGGACCCAATTGGACTGCATTGTCGATCTCAAAACCGAACATCTCTGGAACTGTTCCTTCCTGAGCCACAAAGGTCATCACCTTGCTAAGACCCACATCTCGAAGTTCTTCTACTTCCTCTTCTTGCTCCTCTAGGCCGTCTAATGGTTCGGCCATTTCTACCAACTCCCAACTGCCCTGCTTCTCCACCAGGGTAGTTCGACACATCCCTTCTCCTTGATCTCGAAAGCCCGGGATGAATTGTGGGCTTTGAAACCTTGTGCTCAAGTGAAGTCCAACCCAAAACTCATCCTTCTTCTTCCAGCCATAGCCGCTTCCAGCCATGTTGGTCAACTCTTCATTCAGCCTGACTGCCAGCGTGCGAATCGCCAGGGGTTCTGTGATCACCCTGATGGCGGCATCAACCACTAGACTTTGATTCTGAAACGCTAAAGGCACCTCCAGGCTTCCATTCCTCAAACATTGTCTTTGGCCATCGATTGACCACCCGCTTCTCATCAAGCGTCCAAAAGACAAGATGGGCTGGCTCACCATGTCGCTGAAGGTCACTCTCTCCTTCAAGACCACAGATTGGCCCTCAGATGTCATCATCAAGATATCCACATCTTTGTTGCCATAACTCTGGATCTTCTTCCCTTGGGCGTCTTGCAGATGAAGGGCTTGTCCCAACACCTGATCACTCCTTGTCATTCCCATGAGTCTTCCTGGGAAGATCGAGGCATCAGCCCCCGAGTCAACAATCACCTTCAAGGTTTGTTGCTCCTCTTCTGCCACATAGGCCTCATCGGCCTCCTCCTCATACTCGGTCTCAGCAATGGTGTTGACTTGGTAGTATCCATCCTCATCTTCATCCTCTGAGGCAATGTTGAAAAATTCAACTTGGCTCACAACTCGAATTGAACCAGCTTCACTCCCTTCTCTCAAGTCGAAGATCACTGGCTGTGAAACACGTCTGATACTCTTGGCACCCACATTGGCGTCTCCGCCTCCTCCACTCGAGGTGCTCGTTGTCAATGTCGTAGAGGGCGAAGTAGTGTGAGAACCTGCGATGCTCTGGACTGCTGGTGCTTCGACTTGTCTGATCCTCCAACAGTCACGTGACATGTGTCCGGGTTTGCCGCAAGTCCAACACACTTCATTGGTAGCTTTGCCTTTGCCACCTTTGTTCTCCTTGCCACCTCCTTTACCCTTGCCTTCTTTTCCACCAGGCTTGCCACCTTTGCCTTTTCCCTTCTGTCGGTCTTCTTTGCCCTTCGATTTGCTTTTACCATCTTTGGTCTTTCCCTTTCCTTTCTTGCCGTCACCCTTGATGCGGTCAATCTCCATGGGCATTGGACCATTGGGATCTGTTGTATTCGTCATTGGGCTCATTCCTGAAAACGTAAGGGCTCCCGACTCATTCCACTTGGTGGTGGCCGTGTCAAAGGCAATGATTGCTTCCCTGATCTTGCTGTATGAGCTGCCCTCATTCAAAGTCAGATTCAAATGAGTCTTCATCTGCCCCGACACCGCTCTGAGCAGCACCGCTGACTTCATGTTAGGTGATAACTTTCCTCCAAGGCGCTCATACTGGACATAGTGTTCCTCTAACTTGAGGATTTGAGGCAGCAAGGAGCTCTTCATGTTGAAGCTCGGGTAGGACATTATCCCTTGCAGGAGGCTCATCGTCCTGTTTCTCGCCTGGGGTTGACAGTTCATCAACAGTTGTCGAAGTGCTTCCATCCCATTGAACTTCTCGACATTCTTGATGACACCTGTCAGTCGTCCTTGTACCAAGCTCCCCAACAAGCTGTACAGAAACCGACTTCTCTGTTGTTCCTCCTCATCTAGCAACTCCCAGTCTATCTCGGTTGTCAGGTTGGTCTCTAGCTTCTCCAACTCATCTTGAAATGCTGCATCAACCACAACCAAATATTGTTTGACTGTCCAGTACCAATCTCGCCACTGCAAAACCTCTTGTTCTCTGTCTGTGGGATTAAAAGCACCAGGTCGTGGGATCAACTTTGCTAGATCACGCTTCAACACTCCTTGACTTCCCCCTGCTCCTTCTGCACCTTGACCAGCTGTTCCTCCACTTGAAGCCGCTGCCTGAGCCGCCTGGGCTGCTGCATTAGCAGCCGCTATGACAGCTTGAGCTAGCACGGGCATGTCGGTCTGGTCCATCTTTTCTTCCTTGTAGTGCCAAGCTCTTCCTTCTGCCCAGGTCCTTCGCCCCTCTTTCCACCTCCAAAGGACACTCGCTCGAAGATCCCCTTCAGGTAATCACAGGCTATGATTGCGAGCGAAAGTGCAACACTAGTTGGATGGGTGGCTCGGCGCGGGCGACCTCACACCTGGGTTAAAACTTCCCTGGAGCTCCAGCTGACGAGCGTCAGCCTTCTCAGCTCCGCTACCATGCGAGCTGTTTTGAACCACGAAGGCCTCACGATCAGAAACCTGTACATGTCATGACTGAAGTGGGCTAGTTTCTTTTTCCCAATATATAATATAGTTATATATAACTTGAATATGACGAGTTGCGTTGGGGTGCGGTTGGTGGAAACCGACACCCTGCGTGCATCAATGCTTTGAAGGCAACCGATTTCGGCTCGATGTGGTCTTGCATCGCGGTAAGCCACACACTAAACCACAGCGTTATGTTAGATAAGTTGATCCTTCAAAGTTGCTTTTATGTACCACCCAACTGCAGGGTAGCTCGCGTAGTACCTATCCTCCTAAAGAAGCGAGTCCAAGTTCCGTGTGGGTCTGCGATTCGTGTGGGTGCTCTAAAGGATTCTAAGAAGCTACTAGTAACAAATGCATCGCTACTAGTAGCTATAGGACATTACTATTGGGAACAAGAAACTACTACTGAACTACTGTCCAAGTTCTACAGGCCAACTTGAAGAACTTGGTGCTTTAATTTGGGTTTCAATTCAATGTTGATTCATTAGTGGGACCAGAGCTTCAACGGGTTTCTGGGACAGTGAGTTTTCAATTGCTGGCGGATCGAGGAACAAGATGTAATCTTCCAAACTTGTGACCGTACAACAATTCATCTGCAAGGGCAACAACTCAGAAGATTATCCATTTGTGTCCAGCTCTTCAGCTTGATTCCTGTGAGACCGAAAGCTTTGACAACAATAAGAGCGCTTTCGGACCGGTTCTCTTTCGTCTCCACGCCAAGGCTCCAGTTCCTCCTCCCCGAGATTATACTTCAGCTTCACCCCATCGCAGCTTGGGCAGAACTTCCTTAGAGAGCCGTTGGTGTGTGTGCGTGCTCGGCATGTTGTGCTCGTCGTTGTGCGCTTCTATGCACTACTTTGCTAGTCGTACAAACATAGAACAAACTCACACGGCAGCCCATCAGCAGTAGACTGTTTCCAAAGATAACCATAGATCATCAGGTTTGTTCATGACTCATGCCAAAACAATGCTATAGGAAATATACCGATACTGAAGGCAGGGAGATCAGCTCATGTTGGTTTCGAGGCACTACATTCACTATGAGACACCTGAACCTCATGTTCACATAGTGCGACCCAACAGTGCGACCCACACTGCACGTCCAAGCGTCATGGGCGATTCTTGGTCGGCTCCGCTTCCCATCACCACACCTAAGATTGGAATCGTATGAAATCGCTTTTGCTGTTTGATTGTGATTGAAACATTCTATTAACTTCGTTCATTTCCAGAGTGGCTGGAAGAAAAGCATGCTTTCAGCACCCAAGACTCACACTGACATCAAAAACTTGGACATCACCTGTCATCCTTCTCCTTGTTCTCAGAAACGCCCCTTAACATCCCTTTTCCGTCGTTTAGCTGAGGGACTCAAGCGTGCAGGGGTCCATCCTGCCAAGGGCACAGCTCCAGCCACACCACTGTAGGAGAGGGTGTCTTGCGTGGTGTTGCCATAGACCTCAAGCTATGCATTGAGTTGGCAAAAAAAGGACATCCGGTGACCCACTTGGGTGTAGCCCTGTGCAGCGAGGTCAATTGAAGTCAGTCGCCATAAGGTCGCTGTGCTTGAGAGATGACCGGTCACAGGCAGTCCGCCAGCATCTCCAGACAATATATAGAAGATTATAGAAGAACACTGCCACTTCCACATCAACAATGACGGGCTCACAGAGTTTGAGCTGGATCAAGGAAAGGTTCAATTGGCAGAAACACGGGTCTCAGGTGTGACTAGAGCAGATTTGTTTGACAAAACCAAGTTGGGTGGGGTTTGTAGATCAAACCTAGACCTAGAGGGAAAAGTACTTATATATATATATTATACATGTGATTATTAAAACAAAATTACACCACCTTAGACCCCAAAACAGTGGGAGACAAAAGGAGACGGAAGGGAGACAAGGCGGACACAATGACCAACAAAGGGAGACAAGACCGGATAAAATGCTGCATGGCCAGCGGAAAAGGGCGGACACCACGCCAGTGACAGACCTGGGAGACAAGTGAATAGAAATGTTGCATCGCCAGCGGAAAAGGGCGGACACCAGCAGGACAGACCTGGGAGACAAATGAATAGAAATGCTACATGGCCCGCGGAAAAAGGGCGGACACCAGAAGTCACACAAAGGGCGGACACATCTTAAGAAAGAATTGAGAACCTCTAACAGTAAACTGTTTGGGGAAAAACTGGAAACCAGTTTTTTCCAAAAAAATAGAAAACCTTTGAATCCAAATCAGGTCCACCAAAGCCTTGGGCGTCCAAGGCGAAGCACCTCGGAGCGAACGGGACAAGTCGTCACTGACAAGTGCTCTCGATGAACCAGGAAACACAATGCGTTTAACACGTGTTCACCATCTTTTTGTTTTGTTTCTTTTTTTTGGGGGGAAAGGCCGCCGGTAGCTAGGTAGTAGCTAGCTAGAGGTAGGAAAATGGAAGCTAGTAGGTCAGGAGTTTTTCGTGCGCGCGCGCTCGCGCAGGGGGGGTAGGCCGCGACTCGTAGTTTCAATAGCTACTACCGACAGGACGCAGGATAGCTCTCGCACTAATGATTTGGTTCCTAGATTGGGAAAACCCAGTGAAGCTTTCCAATCCGTTCGATCGATGGGACACAAATACAAAATCTCAATAAAAAGTGCTTCAGCTTGCCGCCTGGATGCACATCAGGCCAGAAGCGTCCGGGTCGTGGCAGGAACCGGGGCCTTTGCCGCCAGGTGTGGAGATTGAGGTCCCGGCCAGCCATATCTTACCTCAGCACTTTCGGCCGACGAGCATCGGCCAAGAAAAAGAATCCACTTTCAGCTCAGTCTTAGGTCCGTGTGCCTTTCGTTGATCAAACAGATTACCTTTGAATACTCATGCCTTGGCTTGTTGGGTACTGGAAAAGGAATCAACTAGAGCTTGTCAGTCCTTTGGCCAAGGGGCCCTTGGCCCAGTGGTTCACGTTGGATCCCAAGGTTTCTTGGCCCGTCAAACCCCCAGCATGCAACATCACTTGGATGATGTCCTCCCAGGTTTTGCTCTCCTCTCCTTCAGTGGCAAAGGCCAACCTCAATGACTCAAGGGAGCGACAATTCTTGAAAACGCACTGCTTGTGGGGAGCAGTGCGAGGTAACCTATGGTAACCTGATGCCGTGCTCATTTGCAATCTGTCGACGTAGCATAATGCACTACAGTGATCGACTGCTAACAGTACATTGGAATGTGGACCATAAAATAACCCGTTGGCCTCCAAAAAATCACCCGTTGGCTTTGCGGAAGTGAGGAGCTGGAACAGGATTTCCAGGAAGTCATGAGCAATGCTTTCCCCTGCAGATAGGTTTGCTCCTGAGGCTCGCAGTTCAAGACCGGTGTGACTTTAAGGGAACATGTTCCATCCACAAGTGACATGTTTGGAACTTGAAGTGGCTAGCAAACGGAACTCTCCAAAGCGATGATTATCATGGACTTGGTTGCCATTCCTCGTTAACATCTTTCATATTCCTTTATATATCAATAATTTCTTCCCTTCCATTCAAGGATGCCACCGTCTTGGAACATAGCACAAAGGTTCCCTCGAATGAGACAAGTCTCCGGCGTTCACCGACAGGTTGCGGTACAAATGCAGGGTAGAATTCTTCACTTTGCCCAGAATCCCCAGGCGCGTTAGAAAGGGCTCGATCCACTCCTTAAATGCAGGCAGAGCCGAGCATCGTGAAAATTGCTTTGGGCAAAGGTCCCACATGGTAGAACCGAGCCAAGCGTGGCCAAGCCTCTGCAGCACTTGGTTAATTAGTTGGGGGATTGCTGCGTCTACAATGGGGCTCTCATGGCCATGGCCCCGCATCTTCAAAAGCTTGGCACAAACAACTTGGGAACCCTTACAGTACAGCGCCTTAAAGAGCCTTCAAAGGAACTGCTGTCTCAATCCCGGCGTATGGATGGTCCATCCGAAACATTGCCCCAGGCTCCGACCAGTAGATCTTCCCCGCAGAATTGGGGGACTTGACCATTCGTAGTGTCCTCAGCCGGCCGGATTCGCAATTCACAGCGGCTGACACCCACACCGTACAGTAGGACCCAGGCGTACGCTCCATCAGGACCCGAAATACTCTATTGTAAATGGACATAAGTGCCAACGACTCAGTCGACTCAGTCAAGTTTCGGCAACCGGTTCGGCCGCCGAGGGTCGATTTCAAGTAGCTTTCAGAGTAGGCGAACATGCTGAAGAACCTCAAGTGGCGACATCTTCTGATCTGGCCTCCTACTCGCACAGCTAGAGAACAAGCTTTGCCAACTGTTCAAGCCATCAAGGCCAGTTTCTCTTGCAAAGCCCTTCCTTTGGATTCCAACAAGAAACACATCAAATACTTTCTGAGAAGGAGCCTTGTAGTTACAGGAAAACGACCGATAATTACCACCTAGTCGCACCTGGTTTTCCTTGAGCCAAAGTGGTAGGTAAGTAAGACATGTATTGGACATACTAGCGTGAAACAACACCCCCCGCTGAACGAAAATGGGAGGAGTGAAGTTATGTACAGTGCACTAATTAAGGACCTACAAAGGTATCCGGTCCCCCGGTACGTGCGAAGCATCGAACCGGAACGTGCCTTGAGATGGAGAGGAAGATTGACCTCAAGGACGAATCACATAAAGCACTGTCATGTTTTGATGCTAGTGTTGAACATGTCTCAAACGGTTTCATGCATGAAAGCTCAACGCATGCTGTCAAAGATGACTCTTTTGGCGCAGCGGAACAGGAAGTGCAATGCCAACCTTTTAGAAAGCAGGAACGAAGCCATCAAGGCACACGCTCCCGCGCGGCGACAAAGCACAACAAAAGATGTGCGCTTCAGACTGCAAGGATTGAGAGCCAAGTTCATAGACCTGAACTCAAATGAATTAGCTGCTGGTATCAGGCATCCGGTCCCCCGGTGCATCACAGAAACGGTCATCCAGGCAACTGCTCCCGCGGTGCGATGAGGGAAAACACAGTGCACAAAGACAGCCATGTCACCCGTAGATTTCATTTCCTTCTCCGCAGGCAACAGCTCCCGCTGTGCGTCGTGTTCACCACCTGCGCTGACTCCACCAGTCGTGTCCTCGCCAATCACTGCTATGACCGCGATCATCTTGCCACTAGTTGCGGTTGGATGAGGACCACCATGAAGACGATGAGGACGATTGCTGCCAATCATAGGATTGACCACTTCCGGCAGCTCCTCGCCAGCGATGCTCTGATGCCTCAGCCTGGGTTCGAGTAGCCCTTGCCAAACTTTCGCCTGGACCTGGCGCTGCCTTGGCCTTGGGAATCACGAGAGCCCGTGTCTCTTTCACAAGATTGACATCAAGGCCAGGGACAAACTGAGCGTCGCCCATCACAAATTCAAGGAGTTCGTCCAAAACATCATCGGGGTCCGACTTCTCACTTCGCCACTCACCGCCGAAACCAAGGATGGCGGGTCGCTTGGCACCCTGACAATAGTCCGCAGCAAATGTTTCAGGGCGGTGCAGCCTGTTCTTCCAATAGATGAAGAAATCTTCACTCAGGTCCGCATCATTTCCTTTGGCCGGTTCGTTCATGAAGATGACCTTCCCGGCGTAGCGATGTCCGATGCCTGGGCAATCATTTCCCTTGTCCTCGGAGGATCAGGAATGACGGCATCCGACAAGCGTTCAAGAAATTGGATGCAGATCGGAGAGAGGTCCTGGGCTGCGCAGTTGAATGCGTAGAAAGCATCAACAAGCTGCCGCTGCGAGACCGTCAGGCTCATCTTCTCCGCCTTCTGGACATGGCTTTTGGCGTTCGCTTTCAAGATGTTGATGCCCGAACGCGAAGCACGCTGGATTTCATGGCCAGGCGTCCCCGCCGGCGTCTTCCTCACTCCGGTTCCCTGCAACCTGTCCTCAGGAACCATGTCCATCGTGACTTCGATTCCAAGATCGGTTGCCAACTCCTCGATCCGGATGAGCTGAGCAGCCTTACACAGATCAGAGGCATTGTTGAGGAAGGTGCCGCAAGTAGTGCAGGACATCGTGCCATGGGTATAGATGTGCTTGCATGTCGGACACAGATCTTCTGGCATCTGAATGCCCTCAACAACCATCCATCGAGTGTTGCCATACCCCTCAGTTTCGGGGTGGAATTTGCGCCAATCGTTGGGCAGCATCTCTTTGGGCGACACCTGATTTCGGTAGGCGTTGAAGTTGGGTCTGCGAACGATATACGTGACCTCATAGGTTTCCAGACCAGGATTTCTCTTTCCTGAAATCATCTGGTCCTTCACGCCTGGGCGCTCATGCAGTTCGCCGTACACGAACGGGGAGAAGGTGTCCACTTTGCCACACCATCTTTCATAGTCCCCGAGGACCTCAGTGGTGTACTTTTCAAGTGGACTCTTCACCATTTCGTTGTCATCGGCATCTGGTCCCCCAGCGCGTGCGGCATGGAAAGCCTTAGTCTCACCAGTAATGATACCTCACATGGTTGGCAAAGGCATAGCATTTGGTTTCCATGTCGTAGACATAGATCACGTTCCTGTTGGCAATCCAGTCAGGGCATAGGATCGTCCCAGCGGTAGTTTCAATGAGCCGATGCCCGTTCAAGATCATCATCTGCAGGTCCAGTGCCACACATATGGGGCGAGTAGCCGCCATTGCAGCGTAGTCAGTGCCTGAGATGGTCCAAGGATCCTCCTTCGTCAAGAAGGTGAATCGGGCTCCAGTTCTGTTACCACCAGGGATCAGGCCCATGTTGACGATCTCGATGAATGCTGCTCGGTGCGCGTAGTGGTAAAGTATGGTGGGCGCCACCTCCTTCACTTTTCCCAATGCACCACGCGGAACTCGAGGAAACTTGCCGGCAAGGTACTCAACCGAAGTGTACTCCTCATCAAGGGTCACAAAGCGTTCATGTTCAGGAAGAGCATCCTGGACATTGTTGTTTGACCATTCGTTGTGATTCTGGATCGCTTTGATTCTGAGTGGAGTATACTGGTATTATCCGCCGACCAAAGTCCCCTTTGGCGCAATCTTCACTTCGAGCATGAATCTGTGGTTGGATGTGATGACCGTCTAAGAGTTCATCATTGGTGAGGTTGACATCGTACTTGCGTTTGATGAACGAGTAAACCTTGCCAAAATCCATCCAGAGCCCAGCATCGAAGCTTGGAGGCTGCACTTTCTGCCAGGATTGTTTGCTATGCTCCCATCCACGGAGCAAGCCCGAGACGCGTCGGGAAATCCAGACTTGTTTCGAGTTCAGATTTTTGGTAGATTGGCAGCGCCTGGAACTGATCTTGACTGCAATGCCACAACTTCGTTTTCCCCAAGAGGCGACGAGACAGGCGGCACAGGAGGTGCCCGAGGCATGGCCTTGGAAACATGGAGTTCCTCTTCCTGCGTGATGGCTACTGGGGCCACCTCGGTGTCACCTTGCTTTGGAATTTCAGCAGTGACAGAAACAAACTCCATGCCCGGAGTGTTGACAGGAGCCTGGTTGTTTGCATCACGGCCATCCGTCCCCGGAGGCGAATCAGCGCTGGGCGCAAAGGTGTCGTCGATCTCGATGACCTCAAGCACGCTTGCATCCGGCATTGGCTGATCAGCCGTCGACGGTTCAGGCGCAGTCTGCACATCCTGACCCTCATCATAGACATCCGGGCCAACGGTCCCCCGTGGCACGTTGTAGAGTCGCTGGTTGAATGGCAGGAGCTTTGCCGCAGCGACCTGCTCCTCGGTCGCGTATAGATGGGATCTCCAAAATCATCCATACGCGCGACCTCCTCTGTCTCAGTGACAGTCAGCAACCAGCCATTCTTTTGGTCAATAGCAGTTTGCCTTTTCTCTCCCGGATTCGATTCATGCCAGTCTCCCAAGAAAAGATATCCAGAATCGATGCGCCGCTTCCAAATGTGCTCTAGCATGTACTGGCGATGAGTCTTCTCTCCACGCGGCTTTGCGAAGAGGTTGGCATTCTTGCGCAACACGTCAACGCCAGCCAGCACCCAGTAGTGGTAACCGAACAAAGCCACGTTGGCGTAGAACTTCACAAACATGGACCTGTTTTCCTCAGTATTGTGACAGTGAAAGTTGTCATACCGAGAGCAGGATCGGACCAATGTTGTCCCGGTCACACTCGTGACACCGAGCTTGGTGAAGACTTCTGCCGATTGGCACATCTGGCGTGCATACTCTTCAGGTAGCCCATAGCTCTGGGCATCACAGAAGCATACCACGATGAGGGCAGCAACATCTTTCCGCTGCCGCAAATCGGCCAGGCGACGCGTCTGCTGAGCATGCTTTTGTGCCAGTTCGGCTTGCCACTCATAGGCAGCACGCTGTTTCGCCGGGTTCCGATGCAGGACGTTCGTGTCAACCCAAGGGTTGCCCACGAAGCCATGATTGCCATAAACGTCGTTGCCAGCGTATGACACAACGATAACAGCAGGGGCATCACCTCCCGGTGTGCGACGTCGGCTGTTGTCCAAACAAGCCTCGATTCCATCAATGATCGCTTCCAGGCCTTTGCCCCAGCGCAAACTGTACTGGACGCTGCCTGCGCGGTCGGTCAAGAGCGACTGACCTGCCTCCTTCAAGTATTCCCCCACGTTGCGTTTGACACGCGTGGTTTTGCCCTCTGAATCCACAGTTTCGTCCACAAGTGCCATCGACGAGTCTCCGGCAAAGATGAAGTCGACCACGGGCCCCCCCGGGCATGGCAGCTGAGTCATCAGGCGAGCTGGGTTACACTCCAGGAACTCGCGGTGTGCCTTGTCGATACGACCAAGGGATTTGGCACGCGCATCGAATGGATCTGCCCCATAGATAGCATCCAAATGGGCTCGTCCATCGTGCATTGACTCAACAAGGTGGGCAAGAATAGCTGCGCGCTTCAACAAATCTTTCCAGTTCCCGTCGTTTCCTGCCTCAGTTGGCTGTGAGGCGGGAGCCACGTACATCCCAGGATGGTTGAGGAAGAAGTCCACGGCATCCGTCTCATAACCGAAGAAAGGCATGGTCATGATGCGAGTCAGGAAAGGAAGGCACAAGTGAAGTAGGCAGTCCGTCCCCGGGCACGAGCTTGAGTTAGTTATTCATGGCAGCGCCAAAGGCTCGGTGAATCATGTCCGTCATCTGGAAAGTGTAAGTTTCCGTGCGTTTCAATGACTCACCACGACCCTCAGCGTGCTCATGATCTTCACTGCATTGCTTGCTTTCAAATGATTTAAGAAT